CTGGTTGACCTGACCTGACCTGACCCGACCTGGTCTAAATGCTTAAAGACGTCATCTGTGATCAAAACTAACACGATATTCGTGATCAGCACCCCGAAAACCCCCTTAGCAGCCACACTTTACGACTTTCTAACAGGTCCCGATTTTCCCGACCTTGGGTCATTGACCTGACCTGGAAGGTCAACCAATGACCTATAGGACCTTAAAATTGGGTATCATCGGCTTTCTCTCGTCACGGGCAACACGCTCGTTTTTTCCGCGAAGCTCTAGCTCAATCAGGGGCCAAACGGCAAGGGGGGGTCCAACCGACCCCCCCCCCCCCTACACATTTTCTTGTAGCGTCGTTCATAATTGCATTATTCCACATTTAGTAAATGTCTACATGTTTCGGGGTAACACCGACCGTTGGGTAACACCGCCCGAGCTCAGCAGGCAACGAAATTTTGCAGATTGCTGGACTATTAACCCTCGCCGGCACAGGCCATTTTGAGTCCTTCGACGGCACAAGGGGGGGGGGGGGTTGGTACGACCCCCCCCTCGCGTTTGGCCCCTGATCGAGCTAGAGCTTCGCGGAAAAAACGAGCGTGTTGCCCGTCACGAGACGAAGCCGATGATACCCAATTTTAAGGTCCTAGATCATCGGGTGACCTTCCAGGTCAGGTCAATGACCCGAAAACCGGGAAAATCGGGACCTGTTAGAAAGTCGTAAAGTGTGGCTGCTGTGGTTTTCCGGGGTGCTGCTCACAAATATCGTATTAGTTTTGATCAGCGATGATGTCTTTAAGCATTTAGACCAGGTCGGGTCAGGTCAGGTCAGGTCAACCGGTAGGGGTTGTGACGGGTATTCGTAATGCGTGTCAACCGCCTCGGACAGCTTCGTAACCTGTTACGAAGGCACCAAAACTACTTTGTAACTGTTCAAATGGTTGCTAAATTCGAATTCAGCTCCAAAAACTAGCCTAGAAACATGTAAAACTCGAAAAAGTGAACCGAGGTCACCCGAGGTCACCAAAGGTCAATGACCTGACCTGACCTTCAGGTGACCTTGACACCAACCCTAATGCATGGGAGCAACATCAAATAACATGTTTGAACGTTTGAAACCACGAAAAGCTTGCAAACGCGCGGCTAATGCGAGCCGACATGCGCCGAACCGCGATTTCGCCCAAACATGGTCACAGAAAAGAGGTCACAGGTCAAAGGTCATTGGGGTCAGGGTCATGAAATTTTCAGCGTAGGTGTAAAATTGATCAATGCGAGGGTACTGAAAGTTTCGTCGCGATCGGCCGCTTTTTACGCGAATTATTCGCGAAAAACCTTAGGGGGGGTTGCATCACCCCCCCCCCTGTGCCGGCGAGGGTTAAGTTGTTCTTGTCATCGTAAATTTTGAGGCGTTTTAGTATATTGATAAAATACAGTGGAAACGATTTTATTATATATCCCTGGTACAATATAGTACTCATTTATAGAACTAGACGACAGGTCCCAAAATTTCATTTTCTCGAAATTTTTCATTATCCTCTCAAAAGAAAACATAGCAACAACGTTCTTTCTTTATTTGAAATGCGCCACTCCTGGGTTAGGTGTCACAATGTGCTATTAAATACCAAATTTCCCAAGTAGGCGGTGTTACCCAAGTGCCTGCATTTTTCTAAAAAATCCTTCAATATGGCAGCACGACAAAAAAAAATTCGCTCGAGCAGGAGCACGTAGTACGTACCTAATGCTTGGATGAGTCCTAATTATGGCATAAAATGCTACTTCAGGACTTATGTCTGTCAAAAAAAGATAAGTTTACTTCTGCTTATTATGCTATAAAAAGTATAAAACGTATTCACGAAACGCAAAATAGTAATTTCTCGCAAATCACCTAAACCAATGCGGTACACTATACCCATACCTGCTAGCTTCTGTTGACGTTACGCTGCCAAAAGACAGTCAGCTGTCGCCCTATAGACCTTTTTATATTTCTGATATCGGGGTGGGCGGTGTTACCAAAAGGGCGGTGTTCCCCTATCTTCGCCTATTCAAGATTGATTAGCTAAGTCATTGATTGATAGTTTCTACTTATAGAAGAATACCTAGTGAGTGCTATGAAATCAAATATGACATTCTTTTATTAAGTATGGTGAATAACTGGGGATGAGTTATGCTGACGGAACTTTGGGCTTGGCAGGCATTGGATTCAAAGTGGCTGAGTGGTTATAAGTGGTTATATCCCTCAGATCCCTTGATGAAACATGCGTGGCGGATGCCACGTCTGGCACACATTTTACACGATAGTGACAGAACAGCAAGTAACAGCATGGGCGTGAGCGTCTTCGGCTTCGCACGAATGCAACATGTATCCTCCCTCAAGCTGATCCGAATCCAACTAATCGTGTGACACATCTCTGACCCGATTCTGCCTCCAAATCAGCGGATTGACCCGATCCGATTCAATCCGATACAACCGGAAGACCGTTCTGCCCCATTACACTGTCTGTATGGCGGTACAGCGAGGAGCAGTAGAGGCGAAACACCTTCAATTAAGGGGGGGGGGGGGCACTGCCGACTTTTGGTCCCATTCTTTCCATGCAACGCCCATAGGGCTTATGTTAAAATGCCAAAATCAAAGGGGGGCACAGTGCCCCGGTGCCCTCCACGTTCCGCCGCCTATGACGAGGAGCACCCCAGGTCACCGCCCACACCGCGTCTCGGAGTCTCCTTGTCTCTCACAAGTCTCACATCCCATCAGATATTCGGCATCCGGGAGAGGTCACCGTCGCCGTGACCCGGACGACCTTTGACTGTGTTTAACGCTCAGAAGACACCAGCGGGGACTAAGGGGGACTGGGAGAGGATTCCCCGACGGAGGACATATGGGGGAGCCCGGCGTGGCGGGAGTTTTGGACAGTCCTGAGGTCACCTCGGGGTGGGAGTCACTCGGGAGGAGTCACATTGGGTCGGGCCGGTCACCTTGGGAAGATGGCATCAGTGAGAGGATAGAAGGCACTAAATGGGACTGGCCAGGATGTAGCGGGAATGGCCCGGGAGAGTAGGTACCTACATCAGTTGGGCAGATATGGCAGCTGCATTTATTCATGGAGCTGCCATATTCTTATCTCATCGCCGTAACAGTTCTGAGTTCTGACGGATACCTAGATGGACAAGCATGATAGCTGACCGAACGATGGACCCAAGTTGGACATATTTTGGACGAAAATTTAGATGATTACGAATTAATATTCGATGGCTCATAATTGAATGACAATGGTTTGAACTTTGAAGAGGCTTACCAAAATGCAGAAAATGATGAATTAGGTATGGAGCAAAATGGTTTCCGCCCACAAAAATATTGTTCACAAATCGCACCAACTGGCTCATCAGAAATTGGCGTCATATTAGGCACCTATATCGGCGTGCCCCGCGGTCACTCATCGAAATGGGGAAGGGGCGCTTCTGCTGTGGCGGTCCTAACTACTGGCTACTGCAACAGCTCACTGATATCCACTCTGGCTGAACTAACTGACTTCTGAGACAGTGTTCCATCGCCACCTGAAACTGTACCTATCCGAAACGCCGACTGACGTTTACTTTTACGCCACAAATAGGTAGGTACTGGTAGGTATTTAGGCATTCACTTGCCAACACGAGCGCATCAATTAACCAGCTAAAGATCGGGAAAGCTGCGTATGGGCTTTTCCTCAGTTACACTTCTCGGAACGCTAACGCTGAACGCTGCCCGTTCCCGCAGCCCAGCCCTCGTCCGTCGGGATGTCGCCTCACGTATTTCCGGTTACGTCCGCCCTCCCCCCCCCCCCATCACCGGACCTTGGAGCAGACGTACGCCTCAATCTCCTCTCCCAGACGCCGACAAAAGATCGGACGTGTCCCCCGCTGAAAAACGGCAGCGCCATACGCACGCACAGTGCGCTGCAGCGGGGTTTGCCGTCGGTCCGGAGGGGCGGATGGGTGATGAAAGAGCTCCCGCCAGGTCGACGCGACGCTCTGCGGTGTGCGACTCAGAGCGACCCTGACCCGAAGAGGACCCGGAGCGGAACGGACGCTGCAGAGACGGTACAGGGTAGCCGTCGGCCGCGGGATGCTGCCGGGGAGACGTCCACGCCACGAGCGGAAACGGAACCAGGAAACGGGCCATTGTTCTGTATACGCATTACGTATTCGCACGGTGTCACACGGCTCGGTCTCTCCAAGAGCCTGTCGACCGGGATGGGGCTGGTCTTGCAAGGTATCTTGAAGATGTGAAAAGTTGGCTAGAACATACCTATTTATCGCTATCCAAGAACAACTTGTCTTGTAAATTTGATGACTATCAACATTCAACGCCAAAATTGATTAAGACGGTAGCTTGAGGAAGAAACTTGGAATCGATGTCCGAAGCTAGGGTAACCAATTCATCAAGGAGAAATTGGGTTCGCGCACTGTCTGGTAGGTAATAATTACAGAGTAATAGTCGTTTTCAACTCACAATAGAACAACAACAAGCTTTTGCGTTGATATCCATGCGTCAGTCCTAACCAAACGAGAGAGATTAGTATTGAGTACCTAGTACCCCGTCCGCCTCTATTGAGTTAGAGATTTGCTGGAATGCATTCTTTTCACCAAACGCTTGATGCCTGTTTAGAAGATACCAGCAACTTATCACCCCAGTTGCCAGGCCAATGCGGTATTGATTTCTCCAATGATTCAATGTTCCCGATGGTGATTAGTCCGATAAGTCACATAGTTCACAACCATCAGCGAAAAAACTTAACAAAAGTGGTCACTATTGTGCGTCGACTTTGACAGAGCAATGGATCCCGTTTGAGTCAGGGCCTGGATCTCCTCGAGTCACGGGCTTGCATTTAACGAAATAAACAGCACAGAGGGACGATGGTTGACTTCCATTGCGGTCGAAACCACCACCACCAGTAACATTTTAAATGGTATTAGCAGTGCATAGCAAGTTATATCGATTATTCAAAGCTGTTTCTACACACCGGTATAAAATACTCCGCTTTAGGGTAAGACAAACGTACATTTGCATTCTATATTTGTAGACCCCAAAAGGTCAAACATTTTTCTTATTGTAAAGGAAAGTAGTTGGGCAAAAATCACACCAAACACTTCAGTACATATAATTTATCATGAAAAGCAACAAATGTTCCATAAAACGGTTTCCATTACGCGTCAACAACTACGCTTTGTGTCCAACGTACGCAAACAACGTAACGCACACCAAACATTATTTTGACCTTGAAGAATCACAGCCATCGATCATATACAAAACATCTTAAAATCATCATAAACAATCAATACGAATTAGCTGCCCAGGCGTATGAAAAGATTAAAACTGGGTAACAGGCTCATTGACTGCACATTTTCCACATGACATGACATGACTGACCCGGGATCAATCATAAAAAATGTCTACACCAGTCAGCATTCACTGCTGAGTAGACGGTGGTGTGAGGAGCTGGCCGGTAGTAGGTGATGCGGGCGACACGAGCTCAACGGGTGTCACCGGCAGCAGCGCCGCCACCTCTAATACCTCCAGTGCAGGGGGCGCCGCCGGGCCGGCCTCCAGCGCAGGGGGCGCTACAGGACAGGGCGCAGACAGCGGCACCGCCGGAACCACCGCCTCCGACCCGTCCGTCGGCCGTAACTCCACGTGCAGCTGCATGTGTGAGCGCACGTGCGACCTCTGCGAGAACCGCTTCTCACAGAGAGGACACGAAAACGGTCGCTCGCCTGTGTGCGAGCGCATGTGAACCTTCAGCTTGTGCTGCGTCGGGAAGCCCTTGTCGCAATGCTCACACCTCGCTGCGACCTCCCTGTTGTGAACGAATCGCACATGCCTCTCCAAGATCTGCTTCCTCTTGAAGGCGGCGCCGCACGTGGCACACACGTGCGGCCTCTCCTCCTGGTGCGACAGTTTGTGAGCGTTCAACGCCGAGTTGCACGTGAACGTGGCACCACACACCTCGCACACGCAGTCTCGCTCGGCGCTGTGCGCGGACGCCAGGTGACAGCGCAGGATCGAGTTATAGATGAACCGCCGCGGACAGTGTGGACACGGGAAACGAGCCTCCACTGCGCCGTGACGCACCATGTGCTGCTGCATGGACGCCTTGGACGAGAACATAGCCGGGCACTGGTCGCACGCGAACCGCTTGCCCTGGTGCTTATAGATGTGTACATTGAGCGCATTGCGGGTCTTAAACGAACTATTGCAGCCCTCCTCCGGGCAGGTGAAGCGTCCCGCGCCGGCTGAGTGCGTGAGCGAGTGTTTATTGTAGCGTTTCTGACCGAGAAACTCCTTACCGCAGACGGGACAGGTGATGGTTTTCAGACGCTCCGGGAAGTGCACGTAGCTGCGGTGAGTGGAGAGCGCCGGTTCCGTGCTGTAAACCTTGCCGCACAGCTCGCACGCCCACTTGTTAAAGTGGATACCCTGGTGTTGGCGCAGCGCAGGACGGGACGAGAAGCGCCGGTCACAGTGTGAGCACGCGTACGGCCGCGCGCCCGTGTGAGAGTTGATGTGGCCGTCGAGCGCGCGCCACGTGCGAAACTCCTTGCCACAGGTGGTACATTGTTTGCCGGAGGACCCCGAGCGGCGGATGGAGGGGTCGTCAGCCGTGGTGCTGCCGGTCGCCTCGTCGTCCGAGGCAGGCACAGTCTGCGAGAAAAATGGGCCATTAGGGGTGAAAATGCGTCGGTCACATAGGGTATGGTAAACCTGTGTCGACAAAAGGTCAATAACATTAACTGACGGGTTGATGCGGCGGTCATTCAGACTAAGAGGAGCACACTCTGTACTAATTCCATTTTAATTTCAAACCGACTTATCAGTATAACGTGTGTTCAGACACATTGAAAAGCTGCAAGCTATTATGAAAGAGCAAGGAGAGCATCGGGCGTGCATCGGGATTAATAAGAACAATGATTGAGGACAACCAACCTCAGAGATTTCCTCCACCGTGTTCTCTTCTTTTTCACCGTGTGGAGGACTGACGGCACATTTATCGTTTTTGGAGTCCAGCTCGTCATCTGAGAGCGCCGCGTTGGCCCCGTTCACTTTGTGACTGGTTAACTCCATATTGAGGCCAACAGACTGGGACAAAGCACATCATGGCATTAACTTTTAATCAATAACGAGCTTTAGGGATTACAAATGACAGAAGAAAACAATGCAAAAGCAAACAAAAGAAAGAGAACATATGCTGAACACAGAGACAATTTTGCAATTTACACACCAGTATAACGCCTTTTGGGGCGACTAACGGAGCGAGCGAGAGGGTGAGCCTAGCACGTGCGAAATTTCGAGGGGTACCTCCAACTGACTTGTGCACGGCACCCTACTAACCGGTCTCTAGCGATGTGCCAAATTTGAGCACAATCGGCCCAGCCGTTCTCGAGATCTGGAAGTGGCACCCTGCACGTGCGCACGTGCAAAATGGGTCCCAACTGACTTGTGCACGGCACCCTACTAACTGTTCCGTAACCGTGTACCAAATTTGAGCGCAATCGGTCCAGCCGTTCTCGAGATCTGGAAACGACCCCTGCACGTGCGCACGTGCAGCAGCACCCCAACTCTGGCACATGGATATGCATTGCCTAGTGGGTGCCTACCTACATGCCAACTCTCAGCGCAATCGGCCCAGTAGTTACCGAGATATTGCAACAATTGCAAAAGTGACACCTCTTCGTTTTGCACGTGGCACGTGCATAAGGGGTCACCCACATGCATCGGGAACAGTGCAATACTTGGTAAAAGGAATGAAGCTACCCTACAAAAATTACCGCATGTAAATCGGTCAAGTGGTTGCTGAGATATAAGCCTCGCAAAAGCGTGACCACGGCCGGCCGGCCGGCCGGCCGGCCGCTCATACTCAGAAATTTCCGTTAATCTAAGGAAAGACTACGCTCGCTTCGCTCGCTCCGTAATCAACCTTTATATAAAAAACTTTGAATATAATCTAAGCAAGTCGCAATACCTATGAACACGACGTTCATTTAGCTGGGCGAAGCTCGACTCAATTTGTACATTAAACTTTGTATCTAGATTCTAGCCTGACGTACAGCACCCGACACGGCACACTAACCTGTCTCTTCTGAGCGCCCTGCCGGTGGCGGCGCCAGAACAGCCGCTGCGCCGTCTCCAGCTCCCGGCGGTGGCCGTCGATGGCCCGCAGCAGCTCCACACACGCGCAGCACAGCCACGAGGGCGCGCTGTCGGCACCGAACAGGGCGGCTGCAGCGCGGCAGGCCGCCTCATCACCAGCAGACGCCTCGGCCACCTCTGCCGCGCACACCTCACACGCCGAGCCTTGTTCTGACATTGACATGGCATCTGAGACCCTCTCTGAAGCTGTCAGAACCTCTGACGGGTCATGTGGTGTGACAGACTGGAGGCTGGCCATTTCAAACAGCCGCAGGTGTTGTTGTCACAGGAGATGCACCCTGATGAGGCTAAGAGCTGCCTGGCTGTAACAGGGATGAGAAAAACATTATCCGCAGTCATGTCAGCCACTGCTGGCCTGGCCAGTGCTGTCAGTTACCTACTTATAACTCAGTTAAGTTAAGCCAGACCAGAAGGGGTCAAGAGGTTAGGTAAGGCATTAAAATTATTTAAGATTGATAATTTAATTTGCTTCCAGATTTCTAATGAAGATTAGGGCATCATTCCTGACTTTTGTAATGAAACTCTAACTAATAACACAACAAAACTTCTAGATGTAAAAACTCCCTTCAAGTACACCAACCTGACATTTCAATTCAAACTTCAATTTGACCATGGTACCAGCCCAGGTACAGATTCTGGGTACCTATTAGATTAATTACCTACATCAAGTACCAGGTCCAGAAAAGCAGTCTTGGATGCTGCAGGTTGCAGGGGAAGGGGTCATATGATCTTAAAAGATTTTACAAGTTCCCAAGACTCCTTAGATTCTAATCTTTATGAGCTGCTGTACAAATTTACCAATTTTCCTTAATTTGAAATTAGCTGTTTAGTTTGTGTATTTTGTTCCCAAAACCTAAATTTTCTATATCAGGCACTTTCCTGATCAGGGGAGATAATAGGCCCAAATGCTCCCTGGAGCAATCAGTGGATCCGTCAGTCACTTTCAGTACATGTGCATGCTAATATCATATCTATAGGTAACATTGCAACAGGTCATCAATGATCAAAATGTGTTGTTGATCTTCTTACTAGTGGTGCTAATCAAAACCGTGACCTTCAGAATTCTGATTTTGTCCAATATCAAATTCGGGGTTTGGAATTTGAACGAAGACAAGCAGGCTGCTTTGGACATTGGAAAATCACTTACTACACCTTAGTATTTTAAAAAGTAATCATGATTGCATTGCATTGGTAAATAGCATTGATTGGTCAATAGAAAGCTTGGTCATCAATTAACACTTTTGGACTGGTAAAAGAACATTAAATGTAAATGAAATGAGTTTTGAGTCGTGTTAATCATTGTGTAGTTATCAAACAGCTTTGGACAAATGGCTGGTTTGGATATCTTTGGACACACAATTAACGAAAATGCTGGCCATTGACACAGGCATTTTATGAAACGGGTAGTTCAGGGCACTACTATAAACTATTCACAATTATTTCAAAATTAAAATGTCAGTTCAGTTGGGCTTGCTGGTATCGGACATCAGTATTGCTTTACACATCATCCGTTATTTTATATGTGGCTGAAAAACTAAGGGGCAGCTTCAGGCTGAGAAATAAAGCATTTTCGTGTCCATAATGGTAAAAGCACAGCAAAGCCCCATCGAGAGCGGTCAGCGGGGGGCACACAAACCTTCCACAAAACAATGCTCACAGGACACAGACAGGGTTGCCAGATCCAGAATGGTCCTTATCGCCAAATTCGCCCCTCGAATTTCGCCAAAATTCGCCAAGTAGGATGCACTGTATAAGCATACGTATAGTCTGTTCCATATCAAGTTTGCAGTCGGAGTTTCTTCGGCAGATCGCTCCTCCGCTCAAGAATTTGCGTCTTAAAATGTAAAAGAGCTATATATGTATACAGAAATCATGCACTGCTTTCAACAGGGCACTTCGGCTGCAAGCTTGAAACGGAACAGAGTATAGCAGCGCAAGTTGGCGTAGGTGTAACCGTGTTCACGATTCGTTTCCAAGTTCACGATTTACCTATCTCGTTTCTCATATTCATTTACATAACATCTACATACATTCTCATATTCAATCAAGAAGATATTTTCATCAGGAACATTTTATATTTGAGTGCGTAATATGAAACGTTGGAAGGTTAAGTTAATCAGATTACGAAATATTTCGTAACGATGTTTTTTGCTTTGTTTTGTTCATTTTTTAAAATAATATTCGGTGATTTAGAGGTGAACTCTGGAAATTCGCCAATATTTGACGTTTTATCGCCTATCGCCAAACGCCGTGCTTCTATCGCCAATGACTTTCAAAATTCGCCAAATTGGCGACATATCGCCAAGTCTGGCAACCCTGGACACAGATGAATGAGACTTACGATGTGGGCATTAGAAGTTTGAGCAATTCAGGGAGGCAATTGAATTTATTTTCATGCCTATTTTGAGATAAAATAATTCAATTCAAATCGCCCATATTATACAAACGTAATCCGCAATCCGTGCTTAACTGCGCCAGAACTCGCCGCTGACGTTTGTTTACTAGATGTCCATAAAGTTAGCGTCGTATTCGTATTCGGATTCAAATTCGAGTAATGATTTCGCTCAAAATTGGCATACAGATAGCCCATGGCACGCTGAGTTCGAAAATGGTGACCTTTTTTTCCTAGGTCAAACCGTTTGACCTTGAGAGGTCAAAATACTGCGTACCCTGTAGAATCTTTGTTTATGGTCCGATTTGAAAAATTCGACCACCAGTGTGTTCGTCTCATCGAGAAGCAGTAGCACATTCAAAAAAATCCGAGGTCAAGGTCATAGGTCAAGGTCAAGGTCACTTTAAAAATCGCCGTACCCTATAAAACCTTCATTTTTGGAGCTATCGGAAAATTTCGGCCACCACTGTGTTCGTCTCATCGAGAAGCAGTAGCACATTCGAAAAAATCCGAGGTCAAGGTCATAGGTCAAGGTCAAGGTCACTTTAAACGTTAATTTTAGTCCCCGTACCCTGTAGAATCTTTGTTTATGGTCCGATTTAAAAATTTCGGCCACCACTGTGTTCGTCTCATCGAGAAGCAGTAGCATATTCGAAAAAATCCGAGGTCAAGGTCATAGGTCAAGGTCAAGGTCACTTTAAACGTTAATTTTAGTCCCCGTACCCTGTAGAATCTTTGTTTATGGTCCGATTTGAAAATTTCGGCCACCACTGTGTTCGTCTCATCAAGAAGCAGTAGCACATTCGAAAAAATCCGAGGTCAAGGTCATAGGTCAAGGTCAAGGTCACTTTAAACGTTAATTTTAGTCCCCGTACCCTGTAGAATCTTTGTTTATGGTCCGATTTGAAAATTTCCGCCACCACTGTGTTCGTTTCATCGAGAAGCAGTAGCACATTCGAAAAAATCCGAGGTCAAGGTCATAGGTCAAGGTCAAGGTCACTTTAAACGTTAATTTTAGTCCCCGTACCCTGTAGAATCTTTGTTTATGGTCCGATTTGAAAATTTCGGCCACCACTGTGTTCGTCTCATCGAGAAGCAGTAGCACATTCGAAAAAATCCGAGGTCAAGGTCATAGGTCAAGGTCAAGGTCACTTTAAACGTTAATTTTAGTCCCCGTACCCTGTAGAATCTTTGTTTATGGTCCGATTTGAAAATTTCGGCCACCACTGTGTTCGTCTTATCGAGAAGCAGTAGCACATTTGAAAAAATCCGAGGTCAAGGTCGTAGGTCAAGGTCAAGGTCACTTTAAACGTTAATTTTAGTCCCCGTACCCTGTAGAATCTTTGTTTATGGTCCGATTTGAAAATTTCGGCCACCACTGTGTTCGTCTCATCGAGAAGCAGTAGCACATTTGAAAAAATCCGAGGTCAAGGTCATAGGTCAAGGTCAAGGTCACTTTAAACGTTAATTTTAGTCCCCGTACCCTGTAGAATCTTTGTTTATGGTCCGATTTGAAATTTCGGCCACCACTGTGTTCGTCTCATCGAGAAGCAGTAGCACATTCGAAAAAAAATCCGAGGTCAAGGTCATAGGTCAAGGTCAAGGTAACTTTAAATATCGCCGTACCCTATAAAATCTTCATTTTTGGAGCTATCGGAAAATTTCGGCCACCACTGTGTTCGTCTCATCGAGAAGCAGTAGCACATTCGAAAAAATCCGAGGTCAAGGTCATAGGTCAAGGTCAAGGTCACTTTAAACGTTAATTTTAGTCCCCGTACCCTGTAGAATCTTTGTTTATGGTCCGATTTGAAAATTTCGGCCACCACTGTGTTCGTTTTATCGAGAAGCAGTAGTACATTCGAAAAAATCCGAGGTCAACGTCATAGGTCAAGGTCAAGGTCACTTTAAAAATCGCCGTACCCTATAAAATCTTCATTTTTGGAGCTATCGGAAAATTTCGGCCACCACTGTGTTCGTCTCATGAAGAAGCAGTAGCACCTTCGAAAAAATCCGAGGTCAAGGTCATAGGTCAAGGTCAAGGTCACTTTAAACGTTAATTTTAGTCCCCGTACCCTGTAGAATCTTTGTTTATGGTCCGATTTAAAAATTTCGGCCACCACTGTGTTCGTCTCATCGAGAAGCAGTAGCACATTAAAAAAAATCCGAGGTCAAGGTCATAGGTCAAGGTCAAGGTAACTTTGAAAATCGCCGTACCCTATAAAATCTTCATTTTTGGAGCTATCGGAAAATTTCGGCCACCACTGTGTTCGTCTCATCAAGAAGCTGTAGCACATTCGAAAAAATCCGAGGTCAATGTCATAGGTCAAGGTCAAGGTCACTTTAAACGTTAATTTTAGTCCCCGTACCCTGTAGAATCTTTGTTTATGGTCCGATTTAAAAATTTCGGCCACCACTGTGTTCGTCTCATCGAGAAGCAGTAGCACATTTGAAAAAATCCGAGGTCAAGGTCATAGGTCAAGGTCAAGGTCACTTTAAAACGTTAATTTCAGTCCCCGTACCCTGTAGAATCTTTGTTTATGGTCCGATTTGAAAATTTCGGCCACCACTGTGTTCGTCTCATCGAGAAGCAGTAGCACATTTGAAAAAATCCGAGGTCTAGGTCATAGGTCAAGGTCAAGGTCACTTTAAACGTTAATTTTAGTCCCCGTACCCTGTAGAATCTTTGTTTATGGTCCGATTTGAAAATTTCCGCCACCACTGTGTTCGTTTCATCGAGAAGCAGTAGCACATTTGAAAAAATCCGAGGTCAAGGTCATAGGTCAAGGTCAAGGTCACTTTAAACGTTAATTTTAGTCCCCGTACCCTGTAGAATCTTTGTTTATGGTCCGATTTGAAAATTTCGGCCACCACTGTGTTCGTCTTATCGAGAAGCAGTAGCACATTCGAAAAAAAATCCGAGGTCAAGGTCGTAGGTCAAGGTCAAGGTCACTTTAAACGTTAATTTTAGTCCCCGTACCCTGTAGAATCTTTGTTTATGGTCCGATTTGAAAATTTCGGCCACCACTGTGTTCGTCTCATCGAGAAGCAGTAGCACATTTGAAAAAATCAGAGGTCAAGGCCATAGGTCAAGGTCAAGGTCACTTTAAACGTTAATTTTAGTCCCCGTACCCTGTAGAATCTTGTTTATGGTCCGATTTGAAATTTCGGCCACCACTGTGTTCGTCTCATCGAGAAGCAGTAGCACATTCGAAAAAATCCGAGGTCAAGGTCATAGGTCAAGGTCAAGGTCACTTTAAACGTTAATTTTAGTCCCCGTACCCTGTAGAATCTTTGTTTATGGTCCGATTTGAAAATTTCGGCCACCACTGTGTTCGTCTCATCGAGAAGCAGTAGCACATTCGAAAAAAATCCGAGGTCAAGGTCATAGGTCAAGGTCAAGGTCACTTTAAACGTTAATTTTAGTCCCCGTACCCTGTAGAATCTTTGTTTATGGTCCGATTTGAAAATTTCGGCCACCACTGTGTTCGTCTCATCGAGAAGCAGTAGCACATTCGAAAAAATCCGAGGTCAAGGTCATAGGTCAAGGTCAAGGTCACTTTAAACGTTAATTTTAGTCCCCGTACCCTGTAGAATCTTTGTTTATGGTCCGATTTGAAAATTTCCGCCACCACTGTGTTCGTTTCATCGAGAAGCAGTAGCACATTCGAAAAAATCCGAGGTCAAGGTCATAGGTCAAGGTCAAGGTCACTTTAAACGTTAATTTTAGTCCCCGTACCCTGTAGAATCTTTGTTTATGGTCCGATTTGAAAATTTCGGCCACCACTGTGTTCGTTTTATCGAGAAGCAGTAGTACATTCGAAAAAATCCGAGGTCAACGTCATAGGTCAAGGTCAAGGTCACTTTAAAAATCGCCGTACCCTATAAAATCTTCATTTTTGGAGCTATCGGAAAATTTCGGCCACCACTGTGTTCGTCTCATGAAGAAGCAGTAGCACCTTCGAAAAAATCCGAGGTCAAGGTCATAGGTCAAGGTCAAGGTCACTTTAAACGTTAATTTTAGTCCCCGTACCCTGTAGAATCTTTGTTTATGGTCCGATTTAAAAATTTCGGACACCACTGTGTTCGTCTCATCGAGAAGCAGTAGCACATTAAAAAAAAATCCGAGGTCAAGGTCATAGGTCAAGGTCAAGGTAACTTTGAAAATCGCCGTACCCTATAAAATCTTCATTTTGGAGCTATCGGAAAATTTCGGCCACCACTGTGTTCGTCTCATCGAGAAGCAGTA